AGTTGGCCCTGACTCATAGCAACCCCTCCTTTGGTTTCCGAGGCAGTATCACTATGGAAGTAGATTGTCCCATCTTCCTTCTTGGACTGGTTGGTGGATTTGAACCGCCAGCCTTCTGGTTAGCAGTCAAATGCCTTAGGCACTATGCTACCAGAGCTCCCTTAATCTGAGTAGACAAGTGCAAATTATATGTACCACTGACAAAACTGGATTCACTGTTGCCCAAAAAAAACAAAGACTGACCTTGCAGCCATTCCAAATATGATTGATAAGTAACTTCAGACTTGTCGCTTCCTTCCTAAACAAGGATCAGAAGTGCTCACTCTCAACCGATTTCTGTGGGAGGCAAAAAAAAAAAAAAATACAGAGAGTCCTGTGAGGTGGATTACAGTCTTGTCATGCAAATAAGATGTCACCTGACTTGGCCAAGTTATTTCTTATCTAAGCCTGCAGATCATTGTTTCTATTGAGGAGGATCAAGAATAAAATTTTCCTCTCAACTTTAACATTAGGATCTTTAAACAATTTATTTAGTATTCATTAAATATTAAATAAAAAAGTAACATACAAACTGGTAAAATCAAAACAATTTGTATTGTTATACTTGTTTGAGTTTTGATTGTGGGGATGGTTAACTCATACATAATAAAAAAACAGACTGGGATTTAAGAAAGGGCTTTTTCTGAAATTCTTTAAGTGGATCTTCACAGGCTTTTGTTGAGATGCGTATTCTGTGTCTCTAAACAGGAAAGAAAGACATAAATTCACGAATTCTCTCTTTTCCCCATTCTTTCTCTCTTCTCCCTCTTTTTAGCCCTTGGTCATCCCTTGAAAAGAAAAAGTGGTCATTGAAAAAGTGTGATGAGTCATAAATACAATAAAATGGTTACTATGATTTTAAAATCTAATGACTAGGATGCTCAACCTGGCTTTTAAGCAGTCTATTTCTGGGTCAGAATTTTACTTTCATTTTTCTTCCCAGGCTTCTGACAATCAGTCAGAAGCCAAGATGGACACTTGGTGCTCTGCATTAATCATCCCAAATCATGTCATTCCCTGATTTTTTTTTTTTTTTCCTCTGCTACAACAGAAATGTTCCATTTCTAGCTATGGAAAGACTACCGCGTCTAAATACCACCCCCTCAAAGAAGCCTATCTGGATTTCTCCAAATAACTCTCTTGATAACAGCCTTTCACAATTCAAAGATAAATATTTGCTTGTTGAATCATATAATCTCCTAACATATTCTTCTCTTATTTTTATGTAATATCTTTTTTTCATTGATTTTGTAATAGCTCACGAGTTAAGTAAGGCAAGTTGGTTTGTTTTGTTTTGTGCACTTTGAGCTAAGCTGGGAGGCAGCACTTAACAGAGGGCAGGTAGAGTTGATCCAGGACCAAAATCAAAGTGGTTTTGCTCTGTAGCCTTCTCTCTCTAACACTTTGCTTCAAGTTGCCATGAAAAATATCAGACTACAGCCATCCAGG